CCAGAGCTTACATCCAGAGCTTGCTCAGCCGCTGCTGGGGATGGGGAGAGGGTGCTAACAGCCCAGTGTGGGAGCCACCATCTCTGTTCTTCTCATGGGTAGCCTGACTGGTGTTGGCTGACACCTGTGAGGGCTGGGTACTGTGGCATGGGCAGCTGAGCTCCCCTGAGCTCTCTGGGGCACAGGAAGGGGCCATGTTCTGTGCTCTGGAGTACCAGCATGGTTTGGAGGGATGGGTGGAGGTGTTAGTTTTGATCAGAGGGAAGAGTCAGCGTGTCCCTGATGGGGACTCATGCCCAGTCCATTGAAACCAAGTGGGAGGTCATTTGCAGCACCTCTGGTGCGCTGGCAGGAGCTGCTGTGCCCTGGGGGATCAGTGCTGAGAGGGCTCCTTGCTGCCTGGCTCTCTGGCAAACCAGCATTAGTTACAGAGATGCTGTTGTTTCTGTATCCTGTGGTGAATAAAATTCAACAACTCTTTATTTCTGAATGACAGCCCAGGGACTGCACTTCTGCTCTGGCTCGGTGTGAAGTGGCTTCATCCCAGCGCAGCTCCTCTGGGGCCTGAAGCCCTCGATTCATTAGTTGTCAGGCTCGTAGGTGGATTCTGCATTAGGCCTTTAATTTAGTGTATTGCCATGGGCTACTGACCACATGACACTGCTCAAATGTGAGCAAATCTAACGAGGATCCAGGACTGCTCTTTAATTTGGTGAGAATAACAGAGTGAGCATGGGCCCGGAGAGTGTTAATCATGAAGGAAAACTGGCTGAAACCAGGTCAGCTGGTGCTGGTTCTCAGTGCAGCATGATGGAGAGGGAGCACGGGGGTGGAGGACTGGCAGTCCCACTCCACCAGTGACAGGAACTGCCATGGCCACAGCAGCCTTTAGTGCTGCCTTTTTCCCTCCCTGTAGCTGAGCCCTGTGGCCCATGTGGTGGCTGGGCTCTGTGGGGCTGCACTGCTCCAGGCTCTGGCAGTCCCCTCGGGCCTGTGCTGCTGTGGGAAGGGGCAGGTGCTGCTCCCTGGTTGTGACAATCCGGGGGTGCTGGGTGTCCCTGTGGGAGCTGATGGCAAGGGCCAGTCCCAGCTGCCACCTGCCTGTCCCTCGGTCCTGCGCTGAGTCATGTGGCACAAAGGCCTGGAGTCACCGGCTCCTCGCAGGAGCAGCAGTGAGTCCCTGTACTTCCATTTGTTCTGTACAATAAACAAACCCACACTGCTCTCCTGCTGGCTATTCCCAGCTGGGGCTGGCTCCCCTCAGCACAGATCATGTGGATTTACTGTGTTAGCCTGGAGTGCTGCCTGAACTTGGCTGGCTTCTTTGAACCATCCTTTTTTTGGAGGGGTGGGTTTTCAGAGAGGGGCACAGGAACCCTCTGCTGTAATTCCTGTTGACTGCAGTGACCAGTGAGGCAGAACTGATCAACTGCAGGCATCCCTGCTGCTGAGCTCTGCCAGCAAAGTGCTTACATCTGCTTTTACACTAATGGGAACTTTATGGACTGGTGTGTCCCCCCCTCCCAGGAGCAAATTCCAACAAGGTCAGAATCCAGAAAGTTGCCACTTGACACCGTGGAGCCCTGAGCCAGGCAGAGGAGGCCAGGTTGCACAGAGGACTTTCTGGGGCAGCAGATCTAATGCTGTCACTTGCAACTGATAGCCTGGAGGTCCCCCCAAATGCCACTGCTGTCATCCCTCTCCCCAGTGGCACAGCTCCTCTGTGCTGGGCCATGCTGCTGGAAGAGCTGGGTGCGTGGGTGCCAGGTCAAGCAAGGCACTGAGCTGCTCAGCACACAGGGAGCCATGGTGGCTGTCCTGGCAGAGGGGGCTGTTCTCTGGGCACACCCAGAAGGTGATGAGAGGGCAGTGCTGCTCCTGCTGCACGGTCTGGGAATGTGGCTGTCCTGCCACTGGCAGTGGGTGCCAGGTGAACAGGGTGGCATCGGGTAGCAGTGGCCTGGGACAGGGAACACAAGTGCTGTGAGTGCCCCAGGGACTGAAACCATGAATTTAATGAATGACCAGTACACATTAATGGTTATTAAGGTGATTAATATTTAGTTTGTGGGGAAGAGAATTTGCAGAAATGTGACTTGATTCTCTGCAAAAGTTACTGTTCATTTTTCAGGACATACAATCGGCCTGGACAAGGCCTGCTGAATTGTGGCTGCTTTGGCAGCTTAAGTGTGAAGGATTATGGAAGATCTCTGATTAACTGCCTGCTTTTTAATCTAACATTGCAGGGCCCTAACTGCTTTGACTTTGAGTAAGGGGAGGATGGTTTCTATAAGGGCATCCCATGGCACTGTGTGGCACTGGCCCTGGGCATTTGGGGTCAGCTCCCCATTCTCCCTGGTGCTGGTGTGTCACCTATTGCTCTCCTGAGATGTTGTGCAGTGCAGCTGAGGTTGGAGCCACCTTCCCATTGCCCCTCTCCTGAGTAGGAGCCAGCAATGAAGGGGTTTCTGCAGGCTGCCCCATGAGGCACCCATGAGTGTTCACCCTGTGCCAGCTTCTGCAGATGGTGAGTGAGGCAGGAGCACTCCTCTTGAGCTTTTATCCTTCCTTCACCTTGCACAAAGCTTTGTCTGGGTTCAGCTCTTTGAAACAAAGCCTCTACCACCCTCTGGGTGCCCCATGGCACAGGGATGGCTGGGATGAGTGATGGTGAAGGCTGCTGGGGCATTGCTCTGGTTCCCAACCCTGGGCACAGGAGCTGCTCTTGTCCTGTCCCAGGCGCAGCTCTGGTACACAGACTGCCATGCTCAGGACCCCTGGCCACAGCAGGAGATGGGCAGCTCCTGCAATTCCTCATCCCTGGAGCTGTGACCACCAGGAATCAGCTGGTGGGAGCAGGTTCAGGTCCCCCTGCCTGATACTGGGAGATGGATGCTGCTGGTGATGCCCAGAGAGGCTGAAGGCTGCTGTGCCAGCCCGGCTCCCCAGCTCCTGCCACTGCAGCTTGCAGTGGTTTGTTAAGTGAAAGGCGATTTCAGAGCAGGCAGCAGTGAATAAATTCTGTTTTCCTCAAGCATTTAGTGTTGCTTTCAGTTTGCTTTGATGATGTCTTCTCACAACTAGTGTAAACAGACTGCGCAACGGGGAGCACTCACATGTGTACAAGAAGCTGCACATGAAAGACAGAGGCATCTTGAAAGCCATAATAACGCTCTGAGTGCCAGTTAAAGGATTTGTCACTAAGAGCACTTTACAGATAGAAAGAACTTATTAACTAGTGTGACTAACAGCTTGCAAGGTTTAATTGATGTGTGTTTGTTGTCCTTTTATATCTCTCCCCCTTGTCTTCCTCTTGGCACTGATTCCAGCAGTTGCTGGTGCAAGAGCAGCAACCTCAAAGCAGCCTGAATAGGTACCAGAAATAAAAGGGAGGCCAAGCCCTGCCCTGAGTGCCCCCGGGTCTGGGGCTGCAGTGGCTGTGGGAGCTCGGCCCCAACATCCGGATTCCCCCTAGAAACTGGGGCCGGGCCTATTTTCTTGCTCAGGGTTCTGTTATTCCTCCCTAAGTGACGCAGAGTTTTTGAAGATAAAGCTTTTCAATGCATGAATAGGATGGATAATGAATGTTTCTGCCAGACAGACTGCTCGTTGCAAGATTGATTGACTATTAAGGTCATAACGCAGCAGCCACCCACACGAAGCAAACAGGCTAATGTTAGACTCCAGGTTAAGCCGAGAGTTGGTCAGCTGTCCACGGGCACAGTGGGGGCTTCCAGTCATCTGTCAACAAGTGATTGATTGATGTGGACACCTTCCAATCTTATTCTGATGATTCTCAGCAGCTTGCCTGCCTGGTGGCCATTTTTCAGGAGCTGGCAGCACTCAGACCTCCAGGACTCCAAGCGATGACTGCATGGGGGTTAACCCTTTCCTTTGATCCCAAATGCCTTTGTTGTGGGCAACAACACAGCTCATGGGGGAAGGATTGTGCTTGTGAGCCCCAGTTACGAAATACACCGTGACACTCCCTGAGTGAGAGCAATGCTTTAAGATGTTTCTGAGTTGGCCTGAGTAAAGCTGCAAGCTGCAAGACAGAGAATTGTCTAAAGCAGGGCAGGTACAGTGCTGTACTTCATGGGCATTTCAAACATGCCCTGGGTAAACTGTGTGCATCAGAGGTCCAGCAGAAGCAAGGTAAATCCAGGTAGGAGTGAGTTTAGTATTCAGAAGGCAGGAAAAAAAAAAAGGAATTGCATGGACTTTTTCTGGTGTGAGAGACAATTAGTTAAGAGAGCTCTTCTGGTTTTAAGGATTTCTCCTAGTTCAGTGCTTTGAATTCACCAGTTTGTTGCCTGGGTGCTGGCTTTATGTGTGCATGAAGAAGACTTAAATATATCTCTCTGTATTATTTTATATACATGTTATACTTGGTGTGTGCCCACACACGTGCTAGTGGGAAATTGAAGTTATGCATGCCATGTAGTGCAGGTTTGCCATCTGTAAACAACTTCAAGGGTCCTTTGGTTGCAGCGTGTGGCCTTGTCTGTTTTTCAGCAGTTTTAGTTTAACTGTTTTGGAGGACCCTGACACCTGACTTCACCTTTCCATGCACTTTCCATCTATGGTTTTAGCATTCCTAATGTCCCCTTAAAGCTTGCTGTGGGGAAACGTCAAGAGCCTCTTCTCCAGGAGTTGGATCTTTATGTAACTCAAGTGCATTGTTGAGTTTTGATGGTGTGATCTGAACACTGTAATGTGGCCGAGCTGGCACAGAGCTATTGAAGGTGACAGGAGAGCTGTGCTCAGCTGCTCTGAGTGCTGCTGTGTTGTTGTGCACACCCTTCCCCAGCCCCAGCACTGGGCTGCAGGCTGATATTTTTCTATGGAAGATGGTGCCTCAGGCCCTGATCCAGGACCACAAAACACCAGTCTCTCTCCTGGCTGAGCAGGGATAGAGCCTGAGCCAGAAGGAGCTGCTGGGAGCTGGGTTCAGCTATGGCTGAGTTCTGCTAATCCTCTCTTCTCTCCATCCCTTGCAGACGGTGATTCCCTCTCGGACGGTGCCCCCACACAGCACCACACTGGCCTTGCTGCTGATTGTCTCCTGGATGCCAAGAACCATCTCCTACTGCCAGGCTGGGCATTGTCCTGTTCAGAGCTGCTGCCCTGCACTTAAGGAAGAGTTGTGCCCAGTGCACGGGATGCTTGGTACAAGCTTCAGCTGGCTCCTGCCCATGGGCAGGTGCACCACAGTCATGCTGGTGGCGAGGCTTCTCCATCAGCCCCTTGGCCAGAGAGAGCAGGGTTGTGCTGGGGAAGGAGTGACCTGTGCTCCTGTAAACTGAAACAGGGAACTGAAATGCCACGTGCCTGCCACAGAATTTTTCCAGGGCACAGCCGAGCCATGTGTAGTGCTTCAGCCCTCTTGTCCAGAGCTCTGAGGGCTGTTGGTCTGAGTGCATGAAAGATCAAGAATTTGTCTCTGGGGCATTTTGTAGCAGCACCATGGCCTTCTCCTCCCCTCCTTGTACACCCTATCCTCACATTTGTGTGCTCAGTTTTGCTTGGAGGGGAAAAAGAACCTCTGTGGACCAGGGGAAGGTCTTTGATAGTGGAAGATGAGTCCATGGAAGGCAAGTAGCCAGTTGTGTCCATGGGGTAGTATCACAAATTGCTTTTCTTCCCTCAAGCATTCTTCCCTCCTAGGCCTTGGCCAAAGGGCACCACCACTGCTTGCAGCACGAGGTCTGGACATTTTCTGTAAAGTTGTCTGCCTTCATTGTTCTTAACACGTGTGGGCAGATGCAAAGTGCTCTGGGACTGCCATGAAGTGCAGTGGAAGTGCAGAGGTAGATGAATATGTTCCCATTTTAGCTTTTGTTGAGCAGAAAGTGGCTTGTTTGGGCATGGTCATGCCATGGAGCAGTGGTAAGGCTGGGAGGACCCAGCCTAGGTCATTCATCCCTAGCAGCCTGTGTCTTCTGGATGTTGAAGACAGAAGAAGGGATGCTGCTGAGTGCTTTTCTGCTGAGTGCAGGTGGTAAAGAGTGGAAAGGCACCAGCTCTGCTTGCTGACAGCTCCAGCTCAACAGGGTGTTTGGCATTTCTGTGGAGCAGCCCCAGACAGACATGGAGCAGTGCTGGTGGTGCATGGAGAAAACCTTCCCTGTGCTCAGGGAGGGGCATCAGGGTGTCTCCTGCAGCTTATTATGTAGAAGGGAGAGACCTGTTGTTATTTCTCCTTGACTGATCTCTGATTTGGCACTGATCATTAATGTGGTTTTGTGTATTGGAGAGTCACTCTGAGGGTGATTCACCGTACTTCAGCCTCCCTCCAGGCTTCCTGCCGCCCACAGTGTGCAGCCCCCTGGGCAGAGCTGCGCTCGGGCAGAGCCTGAGCGAGGGCCACGGAGTCTGGGAGTGGATGTGGCAGCTCTGCCAATTGACAAGGGCTGGGAGCGATCAGCTTGGCCATGCTGCCCGCTCCGCCAGCGGCCTCGGTGTCCCTGTGGTGTGAGCCCAGCCAGCGTGGCCTCGGGGCTTCTCCTGAGGCAGCGCTGGTATAATAACACTGATGAAAAGCTGATTAATCCTTGTGAACGAGCCGCAATAGCTTCCCTCTAGAACTGAAGAGATTACCACTGATTTGTCATTCTGATTGTTTCAAAGAGACGTGCAATTAGTTGCTCTAATTTAGCCTCGCGCTCGCGGAGCGGCGTGACAAGGGCGCTGTAATCAGTGGGGCTGCGATGGCAGCCACTGGTGGTGCAGCTGTGCCGACACCATTTCACGTGCTGAGGGCGGCCGCCAAAATGGTGGAGCATCATGTGCTCCTGTTCTGTTGTGGTGCAAAACCAAGACGTTTTCGAAGGACCGGGTCCCCTCGATGCTGTGTGGCACTGGGGCAGTGGGACAGGCCTGGCTCTGAGCTGTGCTGGTGGAGCTGGAGCTCAAGGCCTGCTAGGCCGTGTCTGATCAGGGCTCTTCTCGGTGCTGGTTGTTCTTGGGAAGACACACAGAGAGCAATGAGTGCTGGCCTAAAAACCCCCATGAGGTGATGGGCTGTGTTGGATGGTGGGCGTGACATTATAGTCATAGTTTGATTATAAAATAGAAAGTCATAAGGAAATCTTGTTTTTTTATTCTGCTCCCTCCAGCTATTGGCCCTCTTTGCCAGGTGCAGTAAAACCAGTCCCAGGTACAGGAGAGAGGGGTGTATTTGCTTAAGGTTACCCCTGTCTGAGGACTGTCTCTGCTTTGGAAAAGGTACAAAGCTGCCACAGAAAATGAGGAGCTGGTGGCTCAGCCCCCCAGCTCGCTGCGCTGGGTCAGCAGCCAACCCCCTCTGGGCAGAGAGGAGGGAACACATGGGATTTCAAAATGTGTCCGTTTTCAGTGAGACAAATCACTTAAAAATTCAATTCAAAATGAAGAAAATAAAAACGCTTTAAAAACAAAACCTGCCTGTGGCTATTTCTTGGTTGAAGCTGTCTCTTTTTTTCTTTTTTCTTTTTTTCTTTTTTTTTTTTTTCCCTGGGAAGGCATTTTGTTTCTGGAGCGAGCTGGCTGTGCTCACTAAGGAGGGTCTTTGAGGGGCCTCCGAGCAGCTCTGGTGCTGGCTACCAGCAGCCCGTGCACCTCGGCCCCTGGCCAAGCAGCACCACGCAGCTGCTCGGCTCATGTTCCCGGCCACAGCATGGCACGGCCAGTCCCGTGTCACTGCAAGGTCGTGGTTTTCCCTAGCCCCTCCAGCTCAGCTGTCAGCTGTCATCCCCCACTGGGCAGCAGCCCCCGTGGCACCCAGGGGACCCTGCCCATCGTGTGTGTCCTGGGGCTGTGCTGTGGCTTGGGCTGGTCATCCCGCCCGGACAGCTCCGCTCTGCGCCGCAGGGCAGCACCCAGCCGGTGCTGTGCCCCCAGCCCTCACTGCCCTTGTTCCATGGGTGCTGCTCAGTGGCAGCTCCCCCAGCGCAGGTGACATCCAGCTCACTCCACAGCCGCTGCTCCGCTGGTGACAGCTGATCCAAAGGGCAGCCGGGGTCTCGGCAGTGCCAGGTGGGCCAAAACGTACAAGTGCCATCGGCCGGGACACATTCCCCTTGCCTTTCCTGGATTGGGCCAAGGTTGGCCTCAGTGAACCGGCTGAGGGATGGTCTGGCATAGGGAGCACCAAGCAGGACATTTTTGAGTGCTCCTGCTCCCCTCAGCTAAATATAAGCCCCAGTGGGAAGCCTACCTCTCACTCGTTTCATGTTTCTTGCCCCTGCGCTTCCTAAACCTGGCAGCAGGCCCAGTTGTCTCCAAGTCTAAGATGAAAATACCCTTGCAAATCCCACTCATAAAAATACCTGCTGTATTCCCAAAACATGCCTGAGATAGCTTCCAGAGAGGATGGGGAGCTAAAATAAGACACATGAGCTCAGAGCCCCATTTTCCACTGGCCCCACGGTTCCTGTCGCTGCAGCACACCGCGCCATGGACTGAAATGGAAGTGCTGCTGTGTGGGGTGGCCTTGGGCTGGAACCAGACAAGCCACAGCTCTCCCACAGCAGGCGCTGCTGCAGCCCTTGTGTGTGCCAGTGAGGCCTTGTGCTCCTGGGGACAAGCTCGTGGCTGGTGGCACCATCTGGACAGTCACCCTGACCAGCAGTGTTGGCCTCAGCAGAGGAAGCCTGGGTGAGAGTGGGGCACAGAGCTGTGGGGAGTGCTTGGTCCCCACACTGGCCAAGTAAGGAGCAGCAGGAGGCTGCTGTTCCCTGCGAGGTTCACATGGCCAAGCCACACTGGCAGTGGCACCTGCCCTTGGGATGGGATGCAGGTGCTCTTCTGTGGACCTCAGCCTCCCCCTGTCACCCCTTGGCTACGCTGTGCACTGGAGAGACAGGGGACACAGAACTGTTGTCCTGCTGAAGGGCACAGCAGCTGGGGACTGGCAGGGCCGTGAGCCTCACTCTGCATCCAGGCAGTCCCTGGGCAGAGGGATGAGCCCTTGGGGAGGTGACATAACCTGCCCATTGGAGACCAGCTCCTGGCAGGGACACAGTCCATGGGGTGTCAGGCTTCCAGGGAACTGAAATCTCAGCCTTGCCCTCTTCTGAAATGCTCTGCTGCAGCCTGCAAATGTATCCCAGATCTTCTCGCGATCACACATCTCTCTTTTTACTTTTTAACAACCCACTGCTTCTACTAGATGCCAAAATGTTTCCTGGATCAGGCACAGATGTCCCCCACAGTCACGTCCTGCCATTGTCTCTGCTCGGCTGCGGCCCGAGGTGGGGGCAGACACGGCCCGAGGTGGGGGCAGACACAGCCCCAGGTTTACTGCAGCTGGAGGCAGGAATGTGGTGGCCATGAGCCCTCAGCAGGGACAGTGTCTGCCTGCCTGGAGTGGGGTCTGGGGCAGCAGGAGAACCACTGGCAGCTTCAAGCACCCCAGCTAGCATGGTCACAGGGCACAGAACACTTGGCAGTCATGAAAGGTGTCCTGCAGCACCAGGATACAAACATCTGCTCATGTTGCTTACGTTGGAGACCCCTTCTTGTACCTGCCATGCTCTCAGTTAAACCTCTTGGGGTCTGCTCTTGCCCTTATGGCTCTTCTGGGCTGTGCTGCGCCCGAGGTTTTGGAGGAATTTTGTCCCCACAAGGCTGATCACCTTGCAGCCATGAGCTCAGCGGGGAGGAAACTCCTTTTAGGCTCAGTAATGGTGTTAATGGGCCCTGGAAAGCCTTCATGTCCCCTTGGTGGTGCCCAGGCCACATGGGACACATGGGTTCTGCTGCAACAACCTTAGTGCTGGCTGCTTGCATGAATGCTGTGAGATGAGATTTGTTTGGGAGGGCACAACTGTCCCCCTTTTTCAGATGATAGCATCCTGAATCTCATTGACTATGGGGCTGGGTGGCAATATTCAAAGTTCCCCCCTCACTTGCATTGCCTTGTATGTCAGCAAGTGCTACTTAATGATCTGTGAATGGAGGGAATGCTGGGAATGGGCCGGACCTCATGTGAAATATCCATCCAGAGTCTATAAATAATGCAGCCTCTTTATGCTGTGCACAGTTTGGAGCTTCATGGGAGGAGCATTTCCCTGCTATGACTGGAAGAGCATCTCCTTGCTAGGACTGGAGGAGCCTGTAAGTGATTTGGGTATGAAACAAAGGCGATGAAATGTAAAGAGAGGGACTGTTCAATTTCTGAAATATCCTGCAAATGTGCCTCAACCACTTCTGCCAGCTCCTGAGCCGCCACCCACCCTGTGGGTAGTGCCTTGTGCTGTGCCACATGCACCAGGACACAGTCCCCAACACTGACCCTGCACTGACCATGGAAACATCTGGGAGAAGGGTCCCTGCTCGCCCTCAGGGCTCTGCCTTTCCTCGGTCACAGTGATGAACCCGGGGCTGCCAGGCACGGGGCTGTCCCACTGGCACTGGCTGCAGTGTCCCAGTGAGTGGCAGCTGCCCTGGCCCTGGCTCCTGAGCTCTCCCACTGCTGACAGGGTGTGTGTACTCCCGGACCTCCACTGCCTCTGTGGTGGTTTATTGCTCACTCCCTTTTCCTAAAGAGGGAAAGACCTGGCACTGGGGAAATACAGGTGGATTTCTGCTGGGGCAGTTCTCTGGTCACCTTTCTAGGGCAGGGTTTCCCTGCATGTTTGGAAATGCAGGCAGAGGCAGCTGCATCAGCATTGCCACAGCACGGGTGTTCAGCAGCCTGCGCTGGGCACACCGAGGGTGTCTGCTCAGAGACACGCTCACAGCCAAGGAAAACCAAGGCTGTCGCACTCAGACACGGGTGGAGGAGCAGTCCCTTTCCCTGGCACATTCCACGTGCCCATAACAGGGCTACAGCCCTTCCCTGCCAGTGCCACATCCAGCGTGGGGCGGCTTCCCAGGCATGGAAGATCCTCCTTGCTGGGGCAGGAAGGGTTGTGTGAATTTGATTAATTAAAGGATAGGTTTCTGTCATAAATATTCTGCCACTGCTCTGCACGTCTTGTAAAATTTGCTGTGCCGGCTCTCACAATGGCATTTGTGTGATTAATCATGGCAAAGCAGGAATGAGCCGGTGCTGCACCAGCATGGCAGCGATCAGGGCACACGGAGCCCGGCCCCGGCGTGGCCTCGGTGTTATCTGTGGCAAAGCAGGTGGAGCAGCCCCTGCGTGGGGATCGCAGCCGGGGCCGTGCCTGGCTTTTATTTTTAACACCCTGCTCCCAGGCGGTGACAAGCCTTCGCTAAGTGAGGTAATAGCCAATTGATTTTGTTCCGTTTTGCAGTGGGCAGTAATAAATCACACGGCTTGTCAGGGGGTGTTTCATGTTTTCAGTGAGAGTGTGCCAGCAATTAACCATCAGAAAGCTCTTGTGGCTGCGCTCCTGAAGACGTGGCTGCAGTCTGAAACTCAGGAATGTGGGGCCCTCCGCCACCAAAACAGAGCGGCTGTGGCGCAGATTTACAGGGGGGGCTGTTTCCAGGCTCCAGAGTGGACAGAGCGGGAGATTGATGACAGGGAGGAGAAGCCACTCCATTCACGGGCACAGCCACCCACAAGGGGACACAGGGAGGGTGCAACTGTGGGATGCCCCCATCCCTGTTCCCACTGTGGCCTAGGGACTCCCAGCATTTGGGCCAGCAAAGCTGTGAGACCCATGCAGCTGCCTGCCCCACAGTGGGTTACAGGATGAGGACAGAGTGAGATGGAGCTGCCAGCCACTCTCTGGCCCTGCTGTAGCTGTCACTGCTGCCATCCTGGGCTGTCTGTGCCTGGCTCTGGGGGTGCAGAAGTGCCATGTCGGGGTGAGAGGAGGGATGTGGCAGCCACTCTTCCCTCCAGCCCCATTCAGAGGAGTGCAGGGTGTCACTGGATTTGGCTCAGCCTGGTTCAGTGCCCCTCACACCATGCTGCTGGGGTCCCTGCAGCCCTTGGCAGGTTGCTGGGGTTTGGGGGGGCTGAGGCACACATGGGTGGTGGGCTGTGGGGGTCAGCCCCAGTCTCTGCAGCTTGCTCCATCTCTCTGGGCTCTGCCTGATGATTCCCAGATGGTAATCGCTCTGCTTTTATTTCCCGTAACCTTTGTTACTCTGGGAAGGCAGAGGCAGAGGCTGGGCTAGAGGCCGGGGTGAGGGATGTGGCGGGAGGGTCGGGACCCTGGGGAATAATGCTGGTTTCAAAGCAAGGCCTTTCACAGAGGCATTTGCATTTGGAAATAGGTAGCGACTGCTTTGCATGCAGAGCTGGAGGCTCAGGTCCTGGGGGGAAAGAACGGGAGCAAGTGGCCAATTGATCCCCAACTGAAATCAGGAAATTATCAGGAAATCATCCCCTGCTCTGTGCTGAGGGGTCTGTGACAAAAGAACCTTCTCCAGTCCATGGCCTGGCTGCCCACCGTGGCCCCTCTCAGGCTGTGACTTTCCCATGGCAGTGCTGGGTGAGA